AGCCTCAGTCATCCCACTTCCTCTGGACCAATGTGTATGTTTTGTTATATTTCCGGTGTTCAAACTGTCGGATTCCATCTATGGCCTCTCTCTCTCGGGTCTCTCTCTGGTCTCACCCTCTGGCCTCTCTCTCTCCCTGGCCTCTCTCTTCCTGGCCTCTCTCTCCCTGGCCTCTCTCTCCCTGGCCTCTCTCTCCCTGGCCTCTCTCTCCCTGGCCTCTCTCTCCCCCTGGCCTCCCACTCTCTCTCTGGCCTGGATTAAAAAAAAGTCTAAATCCAGTTTGACAGAGACAGCAGCACACCTCCAGAGCGCAGAGGGAAAGCTGCTCTGCTCTCACGGCTGCGTTGGTAATGGTGCCTCTCTGCCCTTCTCCACAGCTGTAATTATGTCGATAAAACACGTTCTAAATTTAAAACAACAATGGCCAGTTAAAGTGGTTGTTGTGAGTCAGTGCGGAGGGAAGAACGCCTCTGGAGCAGCTCGCAAAAGGGAGAAACAAATACAGAATCATCAGCAAACTTGTCTTCCACACGCTGAGAAGAGATTTCATGACTAAGATTACTCTAAAATAAAGTTACAAAGAACAGCCCATTCTGGAACATTAGCCGTGTCTGTTCATAAATCGCACCAGCTAATAATAATAATTTTGTCCACATACAAGCCACAGGATTTGTGTTGTGAGGCTTAACCTGCAGCTGATGGAGCAAAACATACAGACAGACAATTTGTTTTAACTGGACACAACATGATTTAAAGAGGTGTTTAACGTCCTGTTAACTTGTGAGGACCAAAGCACTCTGGGAAATCCTATCTACTTCCACAATAATGTAACAGGATTGATAAGAAAATAAAACATACATTGTGTTTTTATTTTATTTGGAGAAACTTTCCCGTCTAAAAACAGGGGCACTTTCACTTCTCAGCAAGGTTGAAGGTTGAAGGTTTGGGGTTCAAATCCCAGTTAGAACACACATTGTATCGCGTATAATATGTAAAAACATGTAATACAATAGATTACATGAAGTGATTCCTGTGTAGAAGCAAAGCAAGAAATGGAATCAAGAATAAATAATGCTTTTGAAGTCATTGACCTTGTGCAACTTTTGAGTTTTTCATTGAAAAATAAAAAACATGTATAATTTGCTATTGCCACACAGTTGTCTGTTACTTTTTTCGGTCTGTCCATGGACTGTAGATGAACGATGCTAACAGGGCTCATGGGACAAACGTTTGCTCAAACTCGCTCTAGCTTCTATTGAGTTACATGTAAAAGTAAACTCTTCCAGCTCAGTATCTAGGGATTTGGGACTTCAAAAATCTTGGTTTAGCGCCCTCTGTGATCCTGGTGTTTATATTATGTTTGGCCAATTGACCAATCAGATGTCTTCTGTTGCAGGGAAACTTTTGCCTGCCTTTAGCAACTGTGTTATGCCCTTATATGGAAATGGCCTCCAGCTAGCTTATGTTCAAATCGGCTTCTGCCGCATTAAAGCTAACACTATGGCGATGTCAGTGCTCAGTAAGTTCTAATACAGAGTCTATGGGTCTATCCAAAATAAAATCTTTGCTCTCATAAACATGAAAAAATACAGACGAGTTTAAGTTGTATTACTTCTGTAAGAAACTGTTTTTATACTCCGCTCTCACTCACTGGACAATAGTCGCAGCAAATAACAATTACACCTTAAAAAGTATCAAAAAACTCCTGAAGTCCAAACTCAAGCCAAGTTGAGAATGTGTCAACCTCTATTCCAAACCTTTTTAAAATACTGCCTGTAAGTTTCCAACATAATGCAATGTTTTTTTCATTCCCTGATAAATTGAGTCACTTCTCGGGCTTTGTTGGGACTGGTGTTTCACTGCGAGAGTTGATAAAAGCACAATTTGAAAGCCTCAAAACTAAACGTTATGAAATAGCCCAAGAAAGAATGTTGCAAGCTCCAGCAAGCCGCTCACCGGGAGCAGAGAAGTGAGCAGAGAAGTGAGCAGGGGTGTGCTGCTGGTTTACACGGTTAGGACCAAACACATCCAGCTAAGTCCATTTGTTTGTGTAGAGCTCTAAAGCACAACAGCAGTCGATGCCCAGGAATATTCAGAGTTGTGGATTCGACAACAACTGATCAGAAAATCTAACAGTTGAAACACAGGAAATGGAATAATAACAAACACATAGAAGGCGTTGGTTCATAGGGAGCGAGATGACCACTGTCCCTAAATGTCCCGGGTCTGTCCTTAACCCTGGTGTCAAAGTAACCCGCCACAGTGATTAAAAAAAACAAAATAAAAGGACAATTCTGGCTGAATTTTGATATTTTTCCCTAACCTGACCAGCCCTGATCATTTAGACCCTTTTAGACAATAATAACCCTAACCCAACTTTTAAAAATAGCACAGGGGTTAAAACCTCCATATCCCATTGAAAATGTTTGATATCTATTAAAATAATATTGAAAATGCGGTATAACTGTGGAAACGCGGAGAATGTGTTGGATAGAGTTCCATGATATGCTTTGATGTAATAAAGCCATTTACCCAAAAGGTTTCTGGGTCACCTCCTACAACTACATCTAGGGGGCACTACAGTCACCAAACTAAGCTCTGAAGAAGTACTAGGTTTTTAGCGAAACGTCAGCATCTAAACCAACTACGTCAAGCAGCGTCTTTTTTCACATTTTTAATAACTATTTTGTTTCACTACATTCTGAACTCTAGAGGCTCTGAGGAGGAGCTGAAGCTGGCTGGATGAGGCATAACATGTCACAGAAAACGATTCCAATGACTCATAATGATGGGACAAAAACGGTCACTTCTGGGAAGATTACCGATGTCTTGCGAGGTACTAAAACTGACCGATTGCATGTGCACACCAATATATCCCATCAGTCTTTGAAATAAATATAAAAATGAAAATATCTTGGACTCGTTTGGACACAAGATAGCTTTGATCTGAGGACAAAGAAATGGTGGGAAGAAAAGAAATAAAAATAAAAATCCTGTTCATTATTGTGATATTTTGTGCACACAATTAATACTTGCAGCATCACAATACTATCTAATCACATTTTTGCCAATTTCCATCCCTGATTTTCAGCCACCGGTATAATCTTAAGGAATACATCAGAGTTGTTATGATTGTGATGCTTTGGTTTGAGACATGTGGTCCTCTTACCATCATTTTTGTTGCCCGCTTACAAATACATATTTCACGTGATAATATCTTTGCTTTTAGTTTTTGTTTGGAGACACAAATAAACTTTCAGTCATCTCACAAAGTCAAACCACGGCAGACCCACCAGGTCTATCTAGAGGCTAAAACCGGGTATATTAGATTAACTATAGCTTTTTTAGCCTTCATTTGTGTCTCTCAGTGCTCAGTCTGGACACAACCTTGACATCACAAACTCACACTTCGGCCTCAATATCAGAGTGAAAACAGATTATCAGTTTGTTAGTTAGTTTGATATGTCCGTATTGGTTCCTGGGACACACTCAAGTATTGGTGTTTTTTCCCCCATGTAAATCTTCTCATTCTGTTGCCATTTCCTCATTCAATTCCGCATTTAAGTCACATCCTGGTCAAGGTCAAGATTATGGTTAAAGAGGTTAGGGTTAGGAACAGGTCATTTGGTTAAGGTTAGGGTTTTAAGGCAAGGGTTCAATGGGACAAAATGCCAATATCGTAGAGAGTCCTTGATTCACACACTCCAGCTGAATTAGCCCCATATATGTAATTTTGTGACACAATCCAAAACAATTGTCAATATATATAAACGAACAATGTTAACGTCTGGATTCCAAAGGTTCTTAGCTTTACAACAAGGTGCTGCATGACTATATTGGTGGTGCTGAAGTTAGCCGGATGACACTGTGAAAGAACATCAATGGCTAGTTTGTGTTAGCACGCAGAGGGCCACATACGCCAACACAGTGGGCCGCATTTGGCTCGCGGGCCTTAGTTTAGACAGACAGATGGGTCTTATGTCAGCGTGAATGGAGCAAAAAACAACTCCAGGTCTGATTTAAATGTTGTCATATGATAAAAAGCTGGAAGAGAAAGAACAAATTTTTGTCTATGTGTCCTTTATGTAGGCTATGAACATATTTGCAGAGTGAGTCAATCAAAGCTGAGCGTAATCACTGCTACTGCCGCAAAACGACACGAGAGAAAGAGAAACTCCCTCGTCAGACGACAGGCTTAAACATAGCCTGAGGCGCAAATTCTCACGTGAACCGAAGACCAGTTTTTCCATGTTATTATTGCACCTAAAGAATGCGCAACCAGTGTGCAGTGCCATTCATATAAGTGCCATATGAACCAATAGAGACTCTAAGGAGCACAGGGACTGGCCTACTGCTGGGACTCTGAGGAGCACAGGGACTGGCCTACTGCTGGGACTCTGAGGAGCACAGGGACTAACCTACTGACTCTGAGGAGCACAGGGACTGGCTCAGATGATGCCCAGAGTCAGGACTAAACATGCAGAGGCAGCGTTTCCAATTCATGCAGCTAAAACATGGGACAGTCTTCCTAAAAATGCGAGACAGGCTTCTTCTCTGACAATGTTCAAACCCAGGTTAAAAAATAGTTCTGTTTAACTGCAACAACTGAAGGATTGTACATTCACTCTTTTTTAATTCACTGTGATTATTTATGATTTTAATGAGTTGTTATTTGATGCCACTCTACCTGTCTTTCCATTAAGCGCTCCTATTTGGTACCATACAAACCAGTAACTTGGGAAACTCCTTGGTAACCATGACTTCCAGCAGCACTCTGACCAATCACTGTCAGTAGTTAGAACACTTTAGTACCAGCTCGGCCTGGATAGAACCAGAACCAAGAGGGACTAAAGAAGGACCTAATACTGATTAAACAGGGATAGTGAAAATACTCCCAAGTAGAGTAGAGCAGTAGAGTCGAGAAGAGTCGAGTAGAGTCGAGTCAGGCTGGTGGAAACGGGGCTATGGTTTTCGCGTGTTTGGCTCGGGTCGGGTCTCACCATGAAGTCGCCGCCGAAGTTGTCCTCTCCCCTCTCCTCGTCTCCTTGACTCATATCCTTCACGGTCTGGATGAACTTTCTGAGAACAGCAGCTTGCTCCATGGTCTAGTCCTCTCTCTGGGAATCCACGCTGTTGTTATTGTTTGGTACAATCCCTTGTTATTTTCGGGCCAAATCGCCTCTTGCTGCTGAGCGAAAGGAAGCGAGAAGGAGGCGAGGCGTGGGGTGGATGTTTTGCTGTTTTTATGTTTGGATTAAACAAAACAAAGGGGGGAAGGGGGGTGGGGAAGGGGATAGATTAAGATAAATAATCCCGCAAAGTCATCGCCGCTTCGCAGTTAGAGGCAGTTCGTTCATCGGGCCATGTTTTGAGGTCTTTCTCTCGTGTGGAATCCGGACGCCGCCACCTCTCCCGCTCCAGGATTACGCTGCAAATTCACTTCCAGTGCGAAATCCAGCGTGAATAACAAGACGTAAACAAACAAATAAACCAAAAAAAAAGCTGTGGGATTGAAATCAAAGTGCTGTGTTGATGCTAGAAAGCCCGGTTCGGTCTAACGCCCCTGTCTTACTGCGCCTCGGTTGCCACATTCGCACATTGCTGCTGCTCTGCTGCTGCTTCCTCTCGGACCGGGGGTGCCAGATTGTGAGAGAGCACAGCGCGAGCAAGCCTTTAGCCCCGTTTCCACCAGCCCGACTTGGCCTGACCTTACTCTACTCTATTGGGAGTGTTTCCACTGGCCCTTATTAACTAGTACCAGATCCTTCGGGTCCCTCTTGGTCCTGGTTCTATCCAGGACGAGCTGGTACTGGCTTGTTGTGGGTAGGTTGCTAGGATACAGTACCATATACTAAAGCGTAATGAAAACACAACCAGGTAGAGCAGAGTGGAGTAGAGTATGGTAAGGTAGAGTAGAGTAGAGTGGAGAGTAGGAGGTAGAGTAGAATAGTGTATGAGAGAGTAAAGTAAAGAAGGGCTGGTGTTTCCACACTGCAGACTCGTGTTTTTTGAGACGTGTTGAAATGCTGTGTCGACCCAGGATAATACAGGGAATGTGTTGCGTGGGCCCGTGACAGCTTTTTCTCCACAGGTAAGACAGGGACTTATCAAGATAAGCGTCAACACACAACAGTTCACAACAGTGGTGGTGGTCAGAGGGGCCTATAGCACATTCTGGTTGCCTCACTTCTGTCAGTGTGCCCCAGGGCAGCTGTGGCTACAGTAGTAGTTTATCATCACCGTGGATGGAATGAATGAATAATGACATGTGAAGCGTTTTTGAGTGTCCAAAAAAGCGCTATATAAAATTGATTATTGCATTATTCTCATTATATAATTAAAACATTTCTATTATATATATTTACAGGTTGCCTGAATGCCGCAGACGACTGATTCCAACTGAGGGTCTAAACAAAACTGTTCTCCTCATACAGCTCCACTTCGGAAAAACAACTATTCATCATTCACTATGTCATTATTCTTTCACCACAACTGTAGCCACTGGTGATGTATGTGCCATCAGCCCCTCTATTCACCAACCATTCACACACAACAGACTCATTTTAATGTGGGTGAAGTGTCTTGCCTAAGGACACAGCGACAGTTTGGCACTTTACAGCCGCAACCACCCCACTGTGGCACCTGGTGTTCCCAGTGGTCTCCCATCACAGTACTAACCAGACCCTGCCCTGCTCGGTCACATGTAGATGGCAATGCACAGTAAACAAGTTTTCCACCAAGAAATGTGGATTATTTTTATTGGCAAGGCAAGTTTATTTGTATAGCACAGTTCATACATTGGGCAACTCAAAGTGTGAACAAAACAAGATAGAAATGATCAGAGTACATTAAAAAGAGTAAATATATTTGTAAAGCTGAACAAAATTGTTTTTAACATGGATTTGAACATTGTCAGAGAAGAATCCTGTCTCACATTTTCAGGAGGATTGTTCCAGATTGTAGCTGCATAAATCTGAAATGCTGCCGCTCTGTTCCAGGCAAGCTGCAGTTTCCTCAAGTCCCAATCGTTCTGGACCAAAAGACTGAGCAGTATTCCACATGTGACATCACCACAGACTGGACAGCTGTTCTCATTCCTCCACAACAAGATTTATCTGACGAGTCCGAGAGAGCGGATTGTCTGACTTTGTACAATGAGAACTCTGAGCCTGCACATGTCATTCACTTGTAAATGTAAAAAAAGTCCACTATGTCACTTTATCTACTTATTATCCTGCCGTGTGTTGAATTTACACCGTAAATCGTCACATGTAGAGAAATGGATATTAAAGTATTTACAGTTATTTAAGGAGCATTCACAGATCTGATATCTCTGTACATCAGGGGTCTCTAACCTTTTTCCATTGGAGAGCTACTTTTAAAGAACCAATGTGCACTTTTTAATCCTCTTAGGGCAATTCATCCTCTGCATTTGACCCAACCTGATGGCACTACGGCAGTGGTACAGGAGCTGTGTCTGAGTGGTTAGCACTCTTGCTTCTCAGCAAGAAGGTTCTGGGTTTGAATTCCAGTCGGAACAGGGCCTTTCTGAGTGGAGTTTGCACGTTCTCCCTTTGTCGGGTTTCCCTTGCCTCTAAACACATGTACATCAGGTGATTGTGAGGGGGTGAGTGGATGGTGTTTGGTCAGAGGCAGTGTGTTTGGCGTCTCACTGCCGTCATCTCCGTGTGGAGAGAATGAAACAATATCTGAAGCGTTGGATGACCTTGGTCTTTAAAAATGCGCTATATAAAAAAAGACTTCTTACTTTAACAATTGAACATGTTTTTAGTAGTAGGGGAAACCGGAGCACCCCTAGGAAACACATGCAGGCACAGGGAGAACATGCAAACCTCACTCAGAAAGGCCCAGTTCTGACCGGGATTCGAACCAAGAAAAAAAAACGGCAGAGAGCTTCTCCTTTAGCAAACGTAATACAAATGTAATCTATATGAAAACGTATGATAACGACAGCCGATGATAGAAAACAGAGTACACCCTTATACTGTACAGCAGACATGTCAAAGTCAGGCTCGTGGGCCAAATCCGGCCCCAAGACAGTTTTTGGTGGCCCCCAACAAGATTTTCAATTATTATTATTAACTTGCAGCACTGATGGTGATGGACTTCCAAGACAAGTTATACATCATCAATATTCTCAGCCAAATTCAATGCATTCTAAAATTTTAACCCAAAGCATCATTAGGAATTAAAGATTGAACAATGTTTGGTCCAGTTTGGGTTGAATCCAAACAATTAACACATTTTGTTTTCAGAAAAATTAACCAGAAAGTAACAGCAAAACATAAACTCTGAAGTGAAATGTCAAAATCCTTCCATAATGTAAAAAAAAAGAATTATGAGATACAATAATTATGACTGGATCTATTGATGTTATGTATTGTATCGTGTTTGGGTTACGTATGTGTATAGTAATATCTATAATTGTAAATAAAAAAAATCAACACATAAATAAATTGTCCCAAAAAGTTTTCACCAATTTTAATTAAAGTAGTTCATAAGGTTTTTACTCACTTTTAAAACGTGTTAAAACTGACAATACAGTTGAAATACTTGAAATGACAGCAAACACAGTTGGAAAGCTAATGCTAAAGACCTAAGGCTAACGGCTGATGGTTAGCAGTGTGTTGCTATAGTAACTAGCACATGCTTATCCCCGGTGGAAAACCAAACTCAACCAGGACCAGTTCAGAAGCAGTGGCTTGAAAAAACGTGCTTCAAAATAACGGCTGTGGGAGTTAAGGCAGAACTTAATCCGATTTTAGAAATAAAAGATAATATAATGTAAAAAACAAGCATATAGAAATACACTACACGTAGAAACAGAAAAAATCCCAAAGTTATGAAGACCAAGAAAGTCTAAAACTAAAAGCCGTCGAATTGAATGCTCAAGGAGTTCAAGTGTTCATTGATTATCTTAGTGAGGGTGGTAAGCCCAAACACCCTATAAAGAAGCGGACCTGGCAACCCTGCCTGATTCTCCGCTAAACCAGGAACTGAGCTCCCATTGGTCAGAATGTGTGTGGGTCTGAAAGGAGAGCGGTGTGATTGGTCAGAGAGTGCGCTCGTCAATTTGTCACCGAACGTCAGCTGTCGTCATAGCTGCAGAAATATACCATTTACAAAAAAATGTAAAAGGACGCCCTGTGATGATAACAATGATAATAATAATAATAATAACAACAACAACAACAACAACAACAACACTACTAATAATGTTTTAATGTTTTAATTACTAAAATTATTATGAGAGACATGACCTGTTATAAAAAAATAAAAAAATAGCCCTGCTTCCACCACCACAGCCCTACTCTTACCCTTCTACTCTACACCACACTACCCTGTTGTGAGTGTTTCCACCGCCTGTTGTATAGAGAGACAGCTCCTTCTTTAGTCCCTCTTGGTCCTGGTTCTATTCAGGCCGAGCTGGTGCTAAAGTGTTCTGACAGTGATTGGCCAGAGTGCATCTGGAAGCCACGGTTATCAATGAATTGAATAATGGTTTGTTGAGGGTAGGTTCTAAGATACCGTACAAGATACTAAAGTGCAATGGAAACAAAACAAACAATAATATTATAATTGACTTTTGTTTAAGTCCCAGTAAGATTTCAGCGTCTCTTAGGGGAGTTTTTGGCCCCAGAGAGAGGGGGGTGGGAGTGGGGTGTGTGGACAGAGAGTGGGGAGTCTTTTGTACATGTTTTTAGTGGTAGAGGAAACCGGAGCACCTGGAAGAAACCAAAACAAACACAGGGAGAACATGCAAACTAGAGGTGGCATTAAACCCAGGGACTTTTTTATAGATTCTGATATTGGCCAGCGATTGTGTGCGGTCACAAAACTCATCCCTGTGCGTTTCTCTGAGAGGAACTTTCTTCGTTCTTCAAGGAATGTGGTGCAGCAGCTGAGCAGAGGAATGCAGCGGTAACAAGTCCCTACACAGGACCAGGGTGAGAGAGGGGAGTCAGGGAGAGGGGGGAGAGGTGAGCCGAGAGAGAGGGGTGAGGCAGCTTCAGTCCAGGATCTACAGCCTCAGTTCTGGAACTACAGCCCCAGTTCTGGAACTACAGCCCCAGTTCTGGAACTACAGCCCCAGTTCTGGAACTACAGCCCCAGTTCTGGAACTACAGCCTCAGTCCTGGATCTACAGCCTCAGTTCTGGAACTACAGCCTCAGTTCTGGAACTACAGCCCCAGTTCTGGAACTACAGCCTCAGTCCTGGATCTACGACCTCAGTCCTGAATCTACAGCCTCAGTCAATCGGGAGTATAGTTCTAACGGAGGTTTCTCTTCGTTCCCACTGGGTACATTCAGTCAATAAGATTTTTGTGAACATTGTATATTATTATTATTATTATTAATCTTTATTTCAGACTCAAGATAAAATTGGTACATACAAAAAATAAAAAGACAAACAATAAAAGGGCAATGCATTCAAATATATAGTATCATTTCTAGCAGATTTAAATATGATTAAGTGTATCTGTCCAGTGCTTTCTCAGAGCAGACGTGTAGCGACATGAGCTCATTCTACCGTTGGTCAGAGTCCGAATGATGCCGTTCTCAGAGTCCTCCAGACGTTCCTTGAACCGAAAGGTTAGATGCCGTATCAGAGCCTCACAGGTGTGAATGTGGGCTCTCACTAACAGTTCACTGGCACTGTGCCACCTGGGCACCCGGAGCAGCAGCCTGAAGGCATCATTGTATGCCACTGTGAGTCTGTGGAAGGACCTGCGACTGTACTTGGTCCACAGAGGAGCTGTGTACAGTGGAGTGCAGTACGCTCGAAACAGTACATTTAACAGGATAAGAACACATGCTGAACCTCATCAGTGTGTTCGCCTGGGCATAAAGTTTACAGCACTGTCTTTTAATGTCTCTGTCATCACGCCAGTCATCTGTGAGAAAGTGTCCCAGATACGTTGTCTCTTTGGAGACGGAAAGAGGCTGACCACAGAGCTGAAAGTCAGGGAAGGTCAAATGTTTATCCTCTCTGCTTCTCACAATCATCATGTTGCTCTTTGTTGGATTGTATTTTATGTCAAACGTCACACCATATGCTGAGCACACTTGTAGCAGTCCCTGCATGCCTGCACTGTAAGGGCTTATGATAACAAGATCGTCTGCATACATGAGATGGTTGATTACGGTGGTTCCCATGACACACCCTGTTTTACACATGTTCAATTCAGTGGACAAATCATCAACATATATATTAAATAAAAAAGGAGAAAGGAGGCCTCCTTGTCCAACACCATTACACACATAAACACTTGTTGAAAGAGCATTCAAATACTATAGAGCACAGTATACTCCATCTTAATGGCTGTTTTAATTTTTTATTTTTTTCTAATCTCCTACTGGCCAATCAGCAATTGAGTCCTTAAATATCATACTGACAAAACATTTATTCTTGAATCTTTCATGTTTCAGAATGGTGGATACAGTAGTCGCCTTCATAACATCTAATCCTACTGAGTCTAGACGACAGCTCCCTCTTGTGGCCACAGCCAGTCACCACACCCACATTCATTCACATTAAAAACACGCGACCATTCATTTACTAGTTACAAACAGATGCATTTATTCTTTTTATTACAAAAGCATCAGGACACAAAGAGTTCCTATGAAACCCTCTTTTGTTTCTGAATCTTTTCGCGAAGGTAGCTTAAGAGTGGGTACAAAGACAATTGTCGAGCAACTTCGGACAACTTTGACGGACGACACGAGTAAAAAACATGTTAAAAGGTTGCGAGTTAAGCGCACTGTGGAACTGTCCTGCTTCTGGCTCGTCTCCGTGGCAACGACTGTTAGCATCGTACCAATTTTCAATTTTTTCCTCCCCGTTTTGTTGGAGAAAATCGGGAAAAAAAAAATCGTAGAGGAGAGAGTAAAGACCACACAGGCAGAAGTTGCATAGTGCTAAAGATCGAACAGTTTCAAAAAACAACAATAGTTTGAACTGGGTGGTGGAAAGGAACCACTGAAATGAACGGCTAAAATATGAATAAATATAAATAATTACTTAAATATAAAAAGATAACATTTCATTCGGGCACTCGTACCATTAAAATTAGTCACCGCCTTAAGTTACGGAGCAGGACGGACTCTTGTTTTCATAAGTTAAGGCTGGATTTCCCGGCGATTTGAGGCTGAAAAAATGGGTTTGTAAACGAGTCCCTTTAGCGTCTTCGAGTTGAGGTTACTGGGTGTATTCCTATGGCTGTGCGGAGGCGGGTCAAAAGTCTGCGGAGAAAACAAGAGAAAGAAGTGTTTGTATATGGTGAGGGTTGCAAAGGGGCTAAAATATCCAGTATAAAAAGGAAAATAAAATCCCCTCTCCCTCCAAAACATCCCACATTCAGTATGCTAGCTTATTTAGCATCTCTATATCGACAGCTATCTACTGGAATGACTACGTCTGTATGTGATATTTACATTTTTAACATCGAAACAAAATCACAGCTTGGTTTTCCCGAAATCTTTTAAAAATCTCCATCTTTGAAAATGTTGCAACCCTAGTTACTTGTGTGTCTGTTACACTGATATAAGTAATAAAATGTATAGTGCAAGTAAGAAATAATTAAAAAATCCAAAGAAGAAATATTATGCAACATTTTTATATATTCAAATTAATGCTGAGGCTATTTACTTTGTCGTTTCTTGGTAAGAAGGGAAAAAAATGCCTGTAACTGCTTGTGCTGCCACTAGAGGGAGCTGCACAGAGGTATGTGATTGTAAAGAACCTAATTTAAGATGAGTAAACTAACTGTCTTTAATCTCCAACCTCAGTCCTGAAACGGTACGAGGATATTTGCTCATAAATTAGTTTTGGCAATTCAAGTGAAGTGAAATTATGTCTTTTAAATTTGCTTGGCAGTTTTTGTAGCCTTTAATGTTTACATTTGGGGGGAAAAAACAGATTTTTCTCCTCCCTCTGGTGATACATTATCACCTTAAGATATTATTTCACAGTGTAAAAATAAACCGTGTCTTTAGGATTTTTAAAGATAAAAAAATACACATTCACAAGAATAAGAGAGAGAGAGAGAGAGAGAAAGGGAGAGAGACAGACAGAGACGCAGAGAGACAGAGAGACACAGGCAGAGAGAGAGACAAAGAGAGAGAGAGAGCCAGAGAGACAGACACAGAGAGAGAGAGACGCAGAGAGACAGAGATGCAGGCAGAGAGAGAGAGAGCCAGAGAGACAGATAGAGAGAGAGAGAGACGCAGACAGAGAGACAGCGAGGGAGAGAAAGAGAGAGAGAGACAGGCAGAGAGACAGAGAGAGACTAGGGATGCACCGATCCGATACTGCAGCCATTCCCAAAGTCAGTAACACTGGGGCCCCCTTAAAAATCCGACGGGTCTGCGCGGCCCCCCGAAATAATAACCAGGAGGACAACGTTAAAAATAGGCTCTTCTGGTTATTTTATTTGGGGGATATAGCTTCTGCTACAAATGTGTAAATGACCTTCCCCACTTTGTAATACACAAATGATTACAATTTGATTATTCAAGTCAAATAATGAACACGAATATTGTAATATTACAAACAAATATTGTTAATTTAACATACAATAATTATATTAAAAATTTTTTTTTTTGTGATGACCTTTCGCAGTATTCCTACGGCCTACCAGGGGGCCGCGGACCCCACTTTGGGAGACACTGCGATACTGGTATCGATATCGGCGCAGATACCAGAAAAAATACTGGATTGGATATCTGCGTAGAGAGCTGCGCCGTGCTGCCGGTCCATTTTCCTTTTCTTTTTCTTTTAATACATACCAGGTACCGCACAATGTCTTAAAATACATTATCACTTCCTCGTGGCGCTCTGCAACAACAACACAGCCAAGCATGGAGCTCAGAAAATAATCAGCGTTGTTCATGCGGCGTGTTTTACACTATCTTCGAGTCATGGTGCGTTTGGTCTGAGCGCACCATCAGACAACCTCACGCGGCGGTAAACTAGTGAAATACAACACGACTAAGCACCACGAGAAACAGCATGGGGAGGTTTTGCAGCGAAAGGAGATGACGTGAAAACAACGAGACACAGATGACACTGACGCAGCGTCACAAAAAGCTTTTCAGCAACAACCCGAAAGTGTTGGAGTTCATCAGTTTGGGCTCGCCATAGACCATTTGGAACCCAACCCAGGTACATGCCGTCGCCAAATACATATCTGAAATCCAGTTAAAGCTACGGTGCTATTATTTACATTATGCAGCGTGTTTTGTTTGTTGTGTTTTTTTTTATTCAAACACAGTTAATATAAGTACATTTATATTCAATAAATGTATAAGATATAATACAGTGTTGGAATGTTTAATGTGAAAAGAGCAGCTCTTTATAGTTGCAGTATTGCACATTTATGTTGAATCCATTTTTATCTGGAAAGTTTAGGGTTTAGTTCATCCACTGCTTTTGCAGTTACTTGAACAAAGAGTTCATTACATTTTAGTGGGGTCATTTCGGTATCGGTAATTACCCATAGCTCTGGTATCAGTAGTAAAAAAGTTGGATCGGTGCATCTCTAACAGAGACAGAGAGAGACAGAGAGACAGAGAGAGACAGAGAGACAGAGAGACAGAGAGAGAGAGAGAGGAGAGAGAGAGACAGAGAGAGACAGAGAGACAGAGAGAGACAGAGAGAGAGAGAGAGAAAGAGGAGAGAGAGAGACAGAGAGAGACAGAGAGAGACAGAGAGAGAGAGAGAGAGAGAGACAGACAGAGAGAGACAGAAAGACAGAGAGAGAGAGAGAGAGAGACAGAGAGAGACAGAGAGAGAGACAGAGAGAGACAGAGAGAGACAGAGAGAGACAGAGACAGAGAGAGAGACACACTTTACCTCTGTCCTCGGCTCTCGCCGCGCTCGTTATTTTTGAGGGTTTGCTTCCAAACGCTCGCAACAAGTGACTGAAGAATTTGATCTCTTGCTTTGCTCCTCTGTAAACACAGATGTAAATATGGATGAATAATCATTTCACGAGTTTTGAGTTCTGTATGATCCAAATTATTATCACATATGATTAGGATGGACTGAAAATGTAAGAAGAGTGAATTATGGGACCTGTTTTTAGGCCTCACTCACCTGCGTCTCTCTCCCCCCTCATTCACTCACTCTATCCATCTCTCACTCCCTCCCTCCCTCCATCTCTCACTCCCTCCCTCCCTCTCTCACTCCCTCCCTCCCTCCCTCACTCCCTCCCTCCATCTCTCACTCCCTCCCTCCCTCTCTCACTCACTCACCTCTCTCATTCCCTCCTTCTCTCACTCCCCTCATTCACCTCCCTAACCCCCCCCCCCTCCTCCTCCATCACCCCTCCGTCACCTCCCTTCCTCCCCTCCTTCCCTTCCCCCACTCCTCTCACTCACTCACCCCTCCCTCCCCTCCCCTCCCTCCCCCCTCACTCACTTGCGCCCCTCCACGTGTCCTCGGTAGCCCGCCCGTAGCCTCTTGATGCGGCTCTGGCACTGCTCGGCGCTGCGGCTGTACCCGTGGCCCTGCATGGCGGTGCTGATCTGGGAGTAGATGTGTTTGTTCTTAGTGTTTCCGCGGAGGTTCTGCTGCACCTCGTCGCTCGCCCACATCTCCAGCAGAACCTTGGTCTCCGTGTCGCTCCAGATCATCTTGGCGCTGTCTCCGGTGAGGCCTGCAGGCATCCCACAGCCGTCATTTTGACTGCTCACAATCCCTCAAAAATGTTTAGTTATCAACCAGATTTATCAAAGAGTGTTTGGTTCATGTTTTTACCGTAACTCACTTTTAAAGAATATGACTGAGAAACCTATAGAAGAAAGGCTAAATGTAGCAAGTATACTAAGTAAGTAAGTCATCTCTCTGGTCTCGCTCCCTCTGGTCTCGCTCTCTCTGGTCTCGCTCTCTCTGGTCTCGCTCTCTCTGGTCTCGCTCTCTCTGGTCTCGCTCTCTCTGGTCTCGCTCTCTCTGGTCTCGCTCTCTCTGGTCTCGCTCTCTCTGGTCTCTCTCTCTCTGGTCTCGCTCTCTCTCTCTCTCTGGTCTCGCTCTCTCTCTATCTCTCTGGTCTCGCTCTCTCTCTATCTCTCTGGTCTCGCTCTCTCTGGTCTCGCTCTCTCTGGTCTCGCTCTCTCTCTCTCTCTGGTCTCGCTCTCTCTGGTCTCGCTCTCTCTGGTCTCGCTCTCTCTGGTCTCGCTCTCTCTGGTCTCGCTCTCTCTGGTCTCGCTCTCTCTGGTCTCGCTGGTCTGGTCTCGCTCTCTCTGGTCTCGCTGGTCTGGTCTCGCTCTCTCTGGTCTCGCTCTCTCTGGTCTCGCTCCCTCTGGTCTCGCTGGTCTGGTCTCGCCCTCTCTGATCTCGCTCTCTCTGATCCCCCTCTTTGTGGCCCCCCTCTCTGATCCCTTTCGACAAAACTAGGTCGCAAGGCGGGTTAAAGGCCCAGTCGTTCTGGTCCCTCAGCCTGTGTCTCTCAGTGTGTACGTTAGAGGTGACCCAGGGTTTTTGGCTAAAGATCTGTGTTTTTCCTCAGATTAAAGTGTCCTAGTGAGAATGGTCCTAGCAAGTCCGTCCTAGCGAGTCCGTCTTAGTGAGAATGGTCCTAGCGAGTCCGTCTTAGTGAGAATGGTCCTAGCAAGTCCGTCCTAGCGAGTCCGTCTTAGTGAGAATGGTCCTAGCGAGTCCGTCCTAGCGAGCCCGTCCTAGCGAGTCCGTCCAGTGAGCCCGTCCTAGCGAGCCCGTCCTAGCGAGTCCGTCCTAGCGAGCCCGTCCTAGCGAGTCCGTCCTAGCGAGCCCGTCCTAGCGAGCCCGTCCTAGCGAGCCCGTCCTAGCGAGTCCGTCCTAGCGAGTCCGTCCAGTGAGCCCGTCCTAGCGAGCCCGTCCTAGTGAGTCCGTCCAGTGAGTCCGTCCTAGCGAGTCCGTCCTAGCGAGCCCGTCCTAGCGAGCCCGTCCTAGCGAGCCCGTCCTAGTGAGTCCGTCCAGTGAGTCCGTCCAGTGAGCCCGTCCTAGCGAGCCCGTCCTAGTGAGTCCGTCCAGTGAGTCCGTCCTAGCGAGTCCGTCCTAGCGAGCCCGTCCTAGCGAGCCCGTCCTAGCGAGCCCGTCCTAGTGAGTCCGTCCAGTGAGTCCGTCCTAGCGAGCCCGTCCTAGCGAGTCCGTCCTAGCGAGTCCGTCCAGTGAGTCCGTCCTAGCGAGCCCGTCCTAGCGAGCCCGTCCTAGCGAGCCCGTCCTAGCGAGCCCGTCCTAGTGAGTCCGTCCAGTGAGTCCGTCCTAGCGAGTGCGTCCTAGCGAGTCCGTCCTAGCGAGTCCGTCCTAGCGAGTCCGTCCTAGCGAGTCCGTCCTAGTGAGTGCGTCCTAGTGAGTGCGTCCTAGTGAGTGCGTCCTAGTGAGTGCGTCCTAGTGAGTGCGTCCTAGTGAGTGCGTCCTAGTGAGTGCGTCCTAGCGAGTCCGTCCTAGCGAGTCCGTCCTAGCGAGTCCGTCCTAGTGAGTCCGTCCTAGCGAGTCCGTCCTAGCGAGTCCGTCCTAGCGAGTCCGTCCTAGTGAGTGCGTCCTAGTGAGTGCGTCCTAGCGAGTCCGTCCTAGCGAGTCCGTCCTAGTGAGTGCGTCCTAGTGAGTGCGTCCTAGTGAGTGCGTCCTAGTGAGTGCGTCCTAGTGAGTGCGTCCTAGTGAGTGCGTCCTAGTGAGTGCGTCCTAGTGAGTGCGTCCTAGTGAGTGCGTCGTAGTGAGTGTGGTGCAGGTGGATGCGGTCACCTCTGTTGGGGTCGTGCTCGTCGATCAGGGACATGTCGGGAAAGGACAGATCGGCGAGGCTGACGTCCGGCAGGTGCACATCCTCAAACATGGCGCTGGCTTTGGGCTTTATCTTCAGCACCTCCTCCAGCTCTTTGTAGTACCGGAAATCCATCCTGATGAACAGACGTCACATAAAGAGAAGGAACTGAACCAACTCAACGAACAAATGACATTGGGGCCTGGACCTGGATTTACCAAGAGCCTCAGAGTTTGAGGCAAAACAGTAAAGAGACATTTTGAGGTCATTCTAAAAAGAACTGAATGGATTTTCACAGGACCAGAAAAGAAATGGATAATAGTAGTAAAAAATAGGTTTGTGTGACATCACAACATTCTATACCCTATAATTTCACATTGTGGTGGAGGGCACTGAAACATCTCTCCTGCACTGTAAACCCTGACAAGTAAAGTTTACTTGAAAAAACCTTGGAAAGAAATAGCACATTAACTTCACTTGAATTCCTAGAGTAATTCCTTAAATTGATATTGCCAAGAAAACTCCAGTGATGCAATACATTTTAGCTGTGAATTCAACTTATGCTCCAACTGGGAATCGTACTTTAAATAAACTAACAATACATGAGTAATATTTACTTACTGGGAAAAATCTATTTAAAATAACTGATATCTGAAGTAGACTGAAGTTAGGGTTTATAGTGTGGCAACTATAGTAAGTGTCAAAAGTCAGATTCTAGATTTAGTTTAGAGCTAATTTCCAATGACGCTAGTATAAAGGGAAGGCACAATAAGAAACAGCTTCAGTCTCTTGCTGGTCTCTATCTCTCAGGTCTTTCTCTCCTGCTCTCTCTGGTCTGTCTCTCCTGCTCTCTCCTGGTCTCTCCTTCTCTCCCTATGGTCTCTCCTTCTCTCTCTATGGTCTCTCCCTATGGTCTCTCCTTCTCTCTCTCTATGGTCTCTCCTTTTCTCTGGTCTTTCCACTTGGGTCTCTCCCTCTCTTGGGTCTCTCTCTCTCTCTGGTCTCTCCCTCTTTCTCAACATTGGTCTCATTATTTTCTCAAAAAAAGGTAACAATATTCAAAAACACATGCATGATGATGGCCAGTAGACAGACGCTGCATCTATCCCTCCACCTCTGGAGCCAAACCCCGGTGACAGTGAGAGGGACTGACTTCTCGTGGTGGTATCCAGCCTTGAGGCGTTTGATGCGGGTGTAGCACTGCTCGGCGCTGCGCGTGAAGCCGTGCTCGCCCATCGTACTGGAGATGTGCTCGTACACGTGGCGGTTCTTCATGGAGCCCTTCAGGTTCAGCTGCACGCGGTCCTCCCCCCAGATCTTCAGCAGGAGCCGGGTCTCGCGGTCCGTCCACGTCGACTTCTTGCCCTGGTCCGACAGCAGCTGGCTGGTGGAGGGCTGCTCGTCTGGAACCACACGCACACAGTCAGGGGCCAGTCAGAGCGAAGTGTGATTATGGGGTCGAGGGGTCTACAGCCTCAGTCCTGGATCTACAGCCTCAGTCCTGGATCTACAGCCTCAGTCCTGGGTCTACAGTCTCAGTCCTGGGTCTACAGTCTCAGTCCTGGGTCTACAGTCTCAGTCCTGGGTCTACAGCCTCAGTCCTGGGTCTACAGCCTCAGTCCTGGGTCTACAGCCTCAGTCCTGGGTCTACAGCCTCAGTCCTGGGTCTACAGCCTCAGTCCTGGGTCTACAGCCTCAGTCCTGGGTCTACAGCCTCAGTCCTGGGTCTACAGCCTCAGTCCTGGGTCTACAGCCTCAGTCCTGGGTCTACAGCCTCAGTCCTGGGTCTACAGCCTCAGTCCTGGGTCTACAGCCTCAGTCCTGGGTCTACAGCCTCAGTCCTGGGTCTACAGCCTCAGTCCTGGGTCTACAGCCTCAGTCCTGGGTCTACAGCCTCAGTCCTGGGTCTACAGCCTCAGTCCTGGGTCTACAGCCTCAGTCATGGATCTACAGCCTCAGTCCTGGATCTACAGCCTCAGTCCTGGATCTACAGCCTAATTCGTAGGCGCGGATCCCCTTCTCCCTGAGGTTTCTCTGGAGACTGGGTTTCTTGTCGATGCAGGAGGGTCTCGGGACAGTGTTGACAGTTATGAACATTGGTCATCCCACTGCTTATGGACCAATGTCTCCTATATATTTGTTATTATTGTTTCTTGTGTTCGAACTGGATTGACAACTCTGTAAAGTCCTCTGTGTTGTGATTTAAGGTGATGCACAAATACATTGAATTGAACTGAATCTAGTCTTTCAAAATCAGTGATGTGTAGCTGACATACATGCATCCTGGTCCTTGTCCGTGAAGCCGTCCTGGTTCGAGTCCAAAGCTGAGGACGAGGAGGAAGCGTCTGCGTCGGCGCTGAAACCCGAACCGCCCAGAACCGGCCCCATGATGTGGAGGTAGGGGAAGGTGGACCTGCGCGAGCCGGCCCTGCTAACAGAAGAGAGCAGATGTTACGCTGTGATGCTAGCTCCACACAAGGAACAAGGACTGAGCGATGGAGTATCAGACTGGGATTTCATCTACAATTAAAAGATAAATGATTTTCATAGAGTTTTTGTCTCAATCCTTTAGGGCAGAAATGCTACACAAATCCTAAATCCAGGACACTTTCTATACAGCGACTTTACTTCCCACAACCCAGTACCAGGTCCTTCTTTAGTCTCTCTTGGTCCTGGTTTTATTCAGGCCGAGCTGGTACTGAAGTGTTCTGATTGACAAGAGTGCTGCTGGAAGCCACGGTTACCAAGGAATTGACCCGGATCCCGTTTTTCTGCGGGTAAGTTGCTAGTATACGGAACCAGATACTAAGTGTAAAGGAAAGCAACCAGGCAGAGTAGAGTAGTAAAGTTGTAAAGTTGTAATGAAGCCCATTTGAACAGAAGCTAGCTACAGAGGCAGACGAGTTGTTGTTAAGACCGTTGCTAAGGCCGTTGCTAATGCAAAAATGGTGAATGTGCCAGCGTTACTGAGCTAGAACAGTTTACTTCTACATGTAAGTCAACAAGAGCCAGAGTGAGTTGGAGCAGAACTTTTAGACATAATGGACGACGCTAACTTGCAAGTTAGCGTCGTCCATCTGTTTATAGTCTATGCTCATCCCCTGACTTAATTCAATTCAAGATTCCCCACTTACTTGCAGTATCGGCGGTAGTTCTTCTTGAGCTTGTTGATGTGTTCGTGGCACTGCTCGGGCGTCTTGTGGTACCCGAGGCCCGACATCTTCTCCGAGATCTCGGCGTAGACCCGTGCGCTCCGGAAGGACGACTTGATGTTCTTCTGGATGTCCTCCGCCGCCCAGATCTCCAGGAAGGCGATGGTCTCCGGCTCTCTCCACACGGCGCTCCCGCTGTCGCCCACTGCGTCCAAAAGAGTTTAGAATACACTTAAACTGGGAAGGATTCTAATGAAAGGTATACACAACTTTCAAACCACAAAACATGGAATCATGCGAGACAAATCCCTGTCACTGGTCCGCTGGGCTCAGTGCTGTGAGAGCGAAGGACGAGTGACATTGATTTTATTAAATGGATCAAGAGGAAGACCAGAGAGAGAGAGACAAGAGAGACCAGAGAGACCAGAGAGAGAGAGAGACGAGACCAGACAGACAAGAGAGACCAGAGAGAGAGAGAAGAGAGACCAGAGAGAGAAAGAGACCAGAGAGTGAGAGACTAGAGGAAGAGACCAGAGAGAGAGACGAGATAGAGGGAGAGATGAGGGAGAGAGACAGAGAGACCAGAGATAGAGAGAAGAGAGAGAGAGAGAGAGAGACCAGAGAGTGAGAGAATAGAGGGAGAGCCTTCTCTGTCCGTGCTCCTCGGCTTTGGAACGACCTGCCCGAGGAGATAAGGCACCATCAGTATCCTCTTTTAAATCACTTCTTAAAACCCACTTTTATAAAACAGCTTTTAAATGTCAGCTTTAAAAACTTCTCATGTCGTATTTTATCGTCTGTCTTGTCTTTGTTTTGTCTTTCTTCTTGTGTTTTCTCTGTGTGTCTTGTCTTCTTGTATTCTATCTAATTGTTTTTACTTTGTATTATGACTGATTTATTGTTTATCATGCTGACTGTGCAGCGCTTTGTAAACATTGTTTTTTAAAAGTGCTATACAAATAAAGATTTATTATTATTATAAGAGACTAAAGAGAGACATGAGAGACCAGAGAGAGAATGAGAAAGAGAAAGAGAAAGACGACAAATGCATGCGTGTGAGAACTAGTGACAGAACCATGCTGTTTTGAGATTTGATTACATAATTACATTTTGCGGTAGGTTGTACTGCACCTGGCCGGTTCTCTGCCTCCTCATCTTTCTCGTCGGGATCCTCCATCGTCGGCCCCAGTATCGGCTCCAGCTGATTATAAAACCTGTACTGGACGGCTTTACCCGCCCTGACGCACACAAAAACACAGATTACAAAAGAAAACAAAAAAAGCAGAGACACAACAAAAACCCAGCGCAAAACACACATGGAACTCTCTGCCCCAGTTTCTCATAGCTGGGCTGAATGCACCAAATTTTCATAAAAGATTGAGATTCTTCCAATTCACTAAAGAATGGAAATTATTTTTTTTAATTTGTGGAGTTGTACTTCAATATATGGAAAGTCAAAAGGTATAAAAATTTTATATAGAAATGTTTAAATTGACATTGTTTTTGGCACACAAAAAGCAACACAAGTAGCCGATGATTCTTTGCTAGCTGTAAATGCTTCAGTATCAATGTATTTATAATATCCATCTATCTGAATATAGTGTACAATTATATCAATATCTGGCAGGATAGGTAGCAGTGACATTCAGAAATTGTCTGCCGTGTCTGTGTGTGTCTGTGTCTGTGTGTGTCTGTCTGTGTGTGCGTGCGAATGGTTACTCTGTATTTTTGTTCAAGCATTTCTGTACTTTTTTTCCTGTTTGTAAATTCCTTTTTGCAAATGTTTCATCTCAACATTACATGGTGTGGTATGGTTTTTATGCTCACAGGGACAGTGTACAATAAACATTAGCCAAGAGGAGAGATGCATTGTACCATCTTGTAGCAGCAGTGCTAATTCACACCTGTAGCTTCTGAGCAGATTGTTTTAAAAGTAAAACAAAAGTAGATGGACACATGACCGTACATTATCGGACAAAAATTACAATTACAAGTACATTGATGAGTACATGGACCCCAGGAAGAGTAGCTACTGTATATTTCAGCAGCTCATGGGGATCTAAATAAGAACAAACAGTTTCTTACTTCTTGCGCTCGTAACACTGTTGGAAATTGGTCTGCAGCTCTTTGACCTTGAGGCAGCACTGGGCGTAGGTCTTGGAGAATCCCAGGGCCTCCATGCGGTCGATGATGTTGGTGTACATCTGTCCGTTCTGGAGCTCTCCCGTGAGCGAGCGCTTCACCTCCTCCTCTTCCCAGATGTCGATGAGGGTCCGCACCTCCTGGTCCGACCAGTGGCCCATCTCTGCGGACGAGCAAACTCCATCTGCGACAGAGAGAGAGAGAGAAACTCAAGTTCAGCTCTGACACCAGATTTCTTTGACACAGAACAAACTTCTGTGTCTGAGGAGGTTTCATCCAGGTGCAATACTAATCCATGTCACTGGAGAGCAGAGAGAGAGAGCAGAGAGAGAGACCAGAGAGAAAGAGAGCAGAGAGAGACCAAAGAAACCAGACAGAGAGCAGAGAGAGTGACCAGAGAGAGAGCAGAGAGACAGAAACCAGAGAGAGAGAGCAGAGAGAGAGAGCAGAGAGAGAGCAGAGAGAGTGCAGAGAGAGAGAGCAGAGAGTGAGACAGGGAGAGAACAGAGAAAAAGTGACCAGAGAGAGAGAGAGAAACAGAGAGAGATCAGAGAGAGGGAGACCAGAGAGAGACCAGAGAAAGAATGGAGAGAGAGCAGAGAGAGACCAGAGAGTGACCAGCGCTGTGACGTTGGTTACCTATTTCAGACACTGAGTTGGAATTGGAGTCTTCCGAGATTTCGTCCGCTGCTTTGGTCGAAGACGCAGAGGAGGCGGGAGGCTGGCTCCCGAGGATCTTCTCCAGGATGTTGTAAAACTTGAAGTCAGTTTTGACGCCTCCTTTGTCTAATCTGGAACACAAGCATCAAACAACATTGAGGAGAAGAAACTGGTCTCTCCACTCTCTGGCCTCTCCACTCTCTGGCCTCTCCACTCTCTGGCCTCTCCACTCTCTGGCCTCTCCACTCTCTGGCCTCTCTGTACCTGTCCAGGCAGTTGCGATACAGGGCCTTGAGACGCTTGATCCTGGTGTAACACTGGTCGTTGCTACGGCGATAACCGCAGGCTGCTAGCTTGTCTGCGATCTCGTTGTAAACTGGAGAGTTGTGAGGGATCCGCTTCAAGTCCTGTTGAACCTAGAACCAAAACAAATCATTAATAAACTTATAGACAACCTGCATGCTTGAAAGGTAAGTAAAATGTATTATTATCATTTTAAACAGGTGTACTAGTCACGCATGAGCCAAGCCTCTTGATATTGATCCAAGACATAAGATCCGAAATATTAGCCCAGGGGATGTCAAACTGGTTCCAGACAGGGCAGCTCTGACTGCAGGTTTTCACTCCAACCAAACAGGAGCACACCAGACTCCACCCATTTCCCCAGATCTCCAAATTCAGACCAGAGAAAGAGACCCACTTGAGAAAATGTGTCGAGTGTGCAGTGCTCTTGCTTGGTTGGAATGAAAACCCGCAGCCAGAATCGGCACGATGCCCTGTAAGAGAGTATTAGAGTTTGGCAAACCTGAGGATCTCCCCAGATCTCCAACAGCAGGACAGTCTCTTTGTCGGTCCAAGTGATTTTCTTCCTTTCCTCCTGAAAGTTGAAAACAGCGTCTGTGGGAAAAAAGAAAACAGCTTTAAATATTAGGAGAAAATCTAAACTTTCTCTCTGGTCTTTCTCTGAGGTTTCTCTTTGGTCTCACTCTTTCTCTGTGGTCTCACTCTTTCTCTATGGTCTCACTCTTTCTCTATGGTCTCACTCTTTCTCTATGGTCTCACTCTGGTCTCTCTCTCTCTCACTCTGGTCTCTCCACTCTCTCACTCTGGTCTCTCCACTCTCTGGTCTTTCACACTTTCTCTGGTCTCACACGGGTTACTCTCCCACTCTTTCTCTGGTTGCTCTCTCTCTCTCTCTCTCTCTCTCTCCATGGTGACGTGTGTGTAGCCGTACCCAGGTCCTGGTTGAAGTAGGCGGAGAAGTCGTCGTCCTGTAGCTCTTCCAGGGCGCGGTCCACTTCGTCCTCCAAAGAGTGGTCCCGAGGCATGAACCGAGCCAGCTCCGAGAACACGCGGCCCTGCCCTGCACCGCTGCACCACGGAGACCAAACACACAAGTCATTAAGGCTGGGGGACCTAGGTTCTGTCGATAAATAATACATGTTTGATTCTCTGATCAGAGTTAGCGAATTGACGACTTTGTGAATTCCTCCGACAAAATGACGTTTGTGGTTTATACATGTACAATGTTTGTCCCAACAGAAAGAGTCCTGTAAAAGTAAAGTGGTGTGAATCAGACCACAACATACTGAATTTATCTTTTTTGTAAACACCTGAAATCTTTGGCATAAGAAAGAGCCCTGTGAGTCACAATTGAGGGTGATCCACTCTTTTTCAGTCTTCTGTTTCTGGAAATACATAATACAGGCTTATGAAAAGTAGTGATAGAACCAAAGTGTTTTGAGAGTAGAGTAGGGCCATGTAGGGCTGCTGGAAGCTAGGCTATCGTTGCGATGTTGTGGTATGTTTTTAAAGCTGTGGTATGTAACATTCAATAAATTACTCTATATTAAGAATGAAATGTGCGCTTGCGTTTCCCGTCAAATTCTCAAAACACATTATCTATATGAGGATGGAACAGACCAGCGGCTCTTTGGTTGCTAGGTTGTTGCTAGACCAAAATTTGGCTCCAGATTTCCGCCCTTGGAGCCTGAAAACCCCCCGTTGTGTAAATGCTCACTTGCTGTCGTAGTTCTGTCTGAAGCGGGTCTTGAGCCTCTTCATCCGGGTCTGGCACTGGTCCGGCGTGCGCAGGTACCCCAGGTCGGCCATCTTCTTGGAGACGATGTTGAACAGCTGGGCTCCACGGTGGCCCCCCCTGGAGCCCACATGGTGCTTGTTCTCCCCCCAGATGTGGATGAGGGCCAGGGTCTCAGAGTCGGACCAGGCAGCACGAGCGCTGGACGAGACTGGGGCAAAGAAGACTTAATTCAACAAAACGGAAAAACCATAAAAGCCTAGTTTATTTATGTATTTGTGTCCCAGTGTACAGTGGTCCCTCACTATGCGGCCTCTCTCTCTCCTTCTCTGGCTCCTCTCTCTCCGTTTCTAATCTCTCTCTCCTTCTCTGGCCTCTCCCCCTCTTTACCAGTGTCTGTGGAGACGTCCTGGGGCAGGTTGTGTTCGAGCATCTGTAGGTCTTCGTCCGCCTCCTGGGGCTCCTCCTCCTGGTCCGGTTCGTCGGTCTCACAGGTGGAGTCCGGGTCGGCCTGGAGGATCCGCTCCAGCTGCTCGTAGAACTTACAGTCCACCTTCCCAACACTGCTGCAGGACACACAGAATAGTAGAATCTCACGCCACACAAAAGCCTCTGCCCTGGCTCTGTTTGAGTCCAGGCTGAAAGTGGCTTCACAGAGATGGACAAGAAGAAAGAGAGAGTGGACAGAGGAAGCTGTGGGTCGGACTCACCCGCTCATTTGGTTGAAGTATCGGCGCAGACGCTTCATCCTGGAGCCGCACTGCTCGGGGCTCCTGCGGTGGCCGCTCTGATTGAGTCGGCGCGAGATGTGTGCGAGCAGTTGTGCGTTCTGCAGTCTGCGCGAGCTCGCCACGTTCATGCTCCACACGTCCAGCAACAGCACAGTCTCCTCCTCCGACCACTTTGAGATTGAGCCCAAAGACGGCTTTGGGCTGTCTGTGTTCCACAGGACACATGTTAGCGGAGGTTACTCAGCTGTGTGTGTGTGTGTGTCTGAGAGTGTGTCAGGGAGTGTGTCTGTGTGTGTCTGTGTTCAACAGGACTTGTGTTAGCGGAGGTTTCACAGCTGTGTGTGTGTGTCTCAGAGAGAATGTGTTAACAAGGACTTTTCACAGCTGCCTCAAGAAGAGAGTGTGTGTGGATCTGCATGTCAGTGTGTGTCAGAGTGTGTGTGTAATGAGAAAGGGGCTGGAGCCAAATAGGTTCAGGCTCTAACAAGTAATCAGTTTATTTATTTGCGTTTGAAAACAAGACAATGCAATCTCAACAATTCAGGTTTAGATTTTCCCACATACTAAATTATATCATAGAACGTATATAGTGTGACATCACATATTTCCGCCAATTTGCTCATATGGGCATTAGTACCAGGTCGTAACAGGGGCAGACTAAACGGTTGCTAAAACGGTTGCATGCTAATGCTAAGGCAAGCTGGATATGGCTCATACCAGGATTTACCTAAACATATCACAATAAAAACACCAGGATCCCAGAAAGAGCACTAATCCACACAAACAGTTACTGAGCTAGGAGTCAATAAGTACTTCTCTTTTGGGCTTCATTGAGCTTGTGAGTTAGCATTGTCCATCTACAAACAGTCTATAAATTATAGGAAAGAAACACAGCCCTAAACAACTATTTAGACCAGTGATGGCACAGAAAACCCCCACGTTCAGATGTTGGTCATTTACCTGTGTAATCTCCCCAAATGGAGATGAGCGGAGATTCACTGTCTTCATCCACAGAGGAGTTTCTAGAACAAAAACATATTCTGTGAGACTTAAGGCGGTTCCGGAGCTGCTTCAGAAACCTCCCCAATCAATGCAATACATGATCAGTGATGTTTTGAGTCATGCATCCTCAGGCGACCCGACCAGGGCGGGTCAGTTGGTAAAGCATGTGTCCACTGAGCTAAAGGTTGGTGGTTCGAATCCTGCTCCAGACATCAACATCATTGGTTAAGTGGTCAAATCGACTGACCAGCTCCCATTGGGACATGTTAGTCTCATATTAACCGACTGGGACTCTGAGGAGCACAGGGACTAGCCTCATGCTGGTCCCCAGAGTCAGGACTGCAAAATGAGGAGGCAGCGTTTCAGATTCATGGAGCTAAAATCTGGAACAGTCTTCTTGAAAATGAGACAGACTTCTACTCTGACAACTTTCAAATCCAGGTTAAAAACAGTTCTGTTCAGCTGTGCAACTAAAGGATTGTAACTTTACTCTTTTTAATGTACTGTGATTATTAAGGATTTTAAAGCCTTGTGTGATTTAAATGCGTACTTGTGCGCTAAGGCCTTGGTTGGTTGCTTTGAGGGAATGTCTTTGCTGTCTGCGTGCTTCCTCTTGCGCAGCACACGGTCTCCGACGACCGGGCTGCATTCGGCAGAGTCCGGTTTGGCGGGACCGGGACTCTGCTGGTCCAGCTCCGACGCCATCAGCGCCGAGTCCGGAGACGATTTGGCCTCGGAGGGCAGCAGCAGCGCGGAGAGAATGCAGTCGTCCATTGGTAACAGCCTGGAGCCTGAAGAGGAAGTGAACGTGAGTCAGAAGTGAGAAACTGGTACTGTCTGAGGAGAGAGCCGTCAGCAGGGGGCAGCGGTGAGGGTCTGGGGTCTCTCTCTGGGGTCTCTCTATGGTCGCTCTCTCTATGGTCGCTCTCTCTATGGTCGCTCTCTCTATAGTCTCTCTCTATAGTCTCTCTCTATAGTCTCTCTCTATAGTCTCTCTCTATAGTCTCTCTCTATAGTCTGTATAGTCTCGCTGGTCTCTATTTGTGAGTGTGTGCATGTGAGTGCACGTGCACAGTGCACAAAACGTTCTCATATGAACAAACATTCTTTAGTTCTTTTTGTTTGTAAGTTATGAAGCACTACTTTTGTGTTGCTGCGACATAGACATAAATGTGAGTCATAAGAGTAATTGTAAACGATAATAATATAATATAATAAATAATAACATGGTCCAGAATAATAATAATATGACCCAGAATAAATTCACCTTTCTCCTCTAAGAATCCCAGTTTGCGGTGGTGTTCGACCACAGCTTGCATGTCCTCTGTGGAGAAGAAGGACTGCAGACAGTCCTCCAACAGACAGGGGGCGTCCCCGAGCAGCGCGGCCACCTACAACATCACAAACCTCAGTTAAATGGAAACAGTTTATTTTAAAGTTACTCATTTCACAACTTGAGGACAAAGGGAACGACGTACGGCTGTTAAACACATGATTACTCCACTTCACCTCTCACATCATTGGTTTAGCTCCTTGTTCTCACGTAGCATCTCAGCTAACATCATCCACCAGATCATTATGACGTGATGAAGTTTCTCATGACAGAATAATTGTGTCCAGAGACAGTGGCTGACAGAACAGTGCGCACCTGTGTGAAGTCGGGCGCAGGCAGAAGCTCCTCCAGTCGCGTGATGAACTCCCAAACCAGCATCTCCAGAGCTGCGTCGAACTTAGACCCGTAATAGTTTGGGAAGACTTCCTGTAGAAACACCACACTCAAACTAAACATATTTTCTCTATGGTCTCTCCCTGAATTTCTCCTACAGGGATCATTAAAGTCTCTATCTATCTACCCCTCTTTCCAGTCTCTCTCTCCCTTTTTCCCGGTTTCTCGCTCCTTCTTTCCAGTCTCTCCTTTCCGGTTTCTCTCCTTCCCTTTTCGCCCTCTTTCTCTCCTATCTAGTCTTTCTCTCTCTCTCGAGTCTCTCTCTTTTCCGGTTTCTTTCCTGAAGTAGCAGTCGTATGTGTTAAGGCCATAAAACCCTCAATTGAATTTAAATATGAAAATTTACCTCAAAAAAGTGATTTCTCTTTGAAGAATCCTTGATGAGCGAGTGCACGAGCTCGACGAACTTTGCTTGTGATTCTTCTATTCGATCCAGAGTCTCCTGTTAAAAACACATGAAATAAGAGCCGTGTTTTTTTCTACATGAATGAGGTTTGAATGTGGAACACTCACAGGGTGATTCTTGCCGCTGCTCGGGGCTTTGATTCTATCCAGACTCTTTTGAATGTCGGTTGTGTCCAGCGGCTCCTCTCCTCGACACGTCTCCATCACCAACTGTGAACAAAATATACCGTCATTATGCTGCTGACAAACAACAGAGAGAACCATTATTATCTCAATTTGAATACTTAATATGAGTTCCATTCTGAACAACAAAGAATACAGTACTTATTCTTTAGTACTTACTTTTTTAATACAATGATTTTGCAGTCTCGCTGTATTTTGCAGGATATAAGTGTCTCGCAAAAAAGAGTGTGTTTCTCATGTGTCATGTGTGTGTACTCCAACAATAATAGATAACCACTGGTATAACACAACAATTACCTACAAATAAAATCTCTCTGCTCTCTCTTATACTAGATACCAGAGGGAGAGAGAGACCAGAGAGCACAGAGAATGAGACCATACAAGAGCAAGATCAGAGAGAGAGACCAGAGAGACCAGAGAGAGAGAGACCAGAGAGAGAGAGATACCAGAGGGAGAGAGACCAGAGAAAGTAGGGCTGGGCGATATGGCTGAAAACTATGTCACAATATAAGTAATATATTGTTAGCAGCCTTGTTTACAGTCACGGGGGAATGAGGCTGGAGCCAAATGTTCACAAGCAGTCTCCCCCACTTTAGTCCTGGTTTAATCCTGGTTTAGTCCTGGTTTAGCTCCTGTTTTGGCTGTTTTCAAGTGTCTTGTGTCCCTGTGGCGGCTCCGGAAAAAGTTAATCTCTTGCTTTTGCCGCATGCATCGAGTATCTACCTCTCCCGCGCTGCACATGCTGTTCCTACTACTGACACGGCACTGAAACACAATCTTTAGATCCATGGCTATTATAATAGATTCATGATCCATGGACGCTACGCAGAGTGCGGTTGTTTTTTTGCTTTTCCCAGAAAGTTTTGCGGTTTGTAGTTGGCTGTGATAGGTCGAGAATCCTTTGCCAAAATCCCCCAGAATGCTGTGCGCTTCTGACTTGGCTTTACTTCCTGTGTTTTGTTCCTGTTTTTTTCGAACGGACTGAAGTGAAACTATCGAAGTTCTATCGACCCTGTTTTCTATTGATATCGAACACGTGTCTATCGCAATATATATCGTTATTGTTTTATCGCCCAGCCCTAAGAGAAAGTGACCAAAGTGAGAGACCAGAGAGACCAGAGTGAGACCTGAGAGAGAGAGACCAGATGGAGAGAGAGAGACCAGAGAGAGAGACAGACCACAGAGAGAGAGACCAGATAGAGAGAGAGACACCAGGGAGACCAGAGAGAGAGAGACCAGAGAGAGAAAGACCACAGAGAAAGAGACCAGAGAGAGAGACACCAGAGAGACCAGAGAGTAAAATACAACATTATCCATGAACATGACTGACCCTGGCCCGCAGCCCGAGGATCAGCTGCGCTCTCTGGTTGTAGCTCATCAGCTCTGGAACCAGCTCCGTCACCATGGTAACAAACTCCTCCAACATCCCATAATGCTGCACGAGGCCCTGCTGGACCACCTGCCACATGGTCGCCGACAGGAGCTGCAAGGGCGGGGCAAGCAGTCGAAGGTAGCGCATGGGGAGACCATTACCTGGAGGGACAAAATGTGAACATGGAAGTTGGTCAAAAAGAATTTTATTATAATAATGCATCGGTTCAAATAGCACTTTTTGGACACAAAGACGCTTCACATGTCATCATTCATTCACTCCATACACCGTGGTGATAAACTACAACTGTAGCCACAGCTGCCCTGGGGCACACTAACAGAAGCGAGGCAACCAGTACCACCACCCATTCACACACCAGACTTATTTTAATGTGGGTGAAGTGTCTTCCCTAAGTTGGCATTTTGGCACTTTGCAGCCACTCCCCTGTGTCAACTAGTTGTTCCCGGAGGTCTCCCATCACAGTACTAACCAGGCCCTGTGGTGGTATCAAAAACAGTATGGAGTCAATTTCTTAGAATTGGAGAATAGTTTGTAATTGTAGTAAGGCAACAATTGAATGCATAGACTGTATATAGATGGACAATGCTAACCCGCTAGCTCAATGAAGCCCAATAGAGAAGTGCTCATGGACAAAGTTTTGCTCCAACTCGCTCTGGCTCCTACTGACTGACTCCTCCAGCTCAGTAACCATTTGCGTCACATTCACCATTTTGGCCTTGAAAAAATCCATGGCTTAAGGCGCTCTGTGATTTTGTCTTTGTAATGTCAGATATGAGCCATATCGAGATTAACCAATCATATGCCTTCCAGGGGAAACTCGCCTTGCCTTAGCAACCATGTTCACAACACGTCTGCCCTTGTTACGGCACTAAGCTAACACAGTGGAAGAAATGTCCATATAAGAAATTTTTGCTTCAGCTCGCTTATGTTCAAATCTGCTTCTTTTGCATTAAAACTAAAACAATGGTGATGTCACATTACGAAATACAAAAACAAAAGATCACAAGAAATATTACAAACATAGAATCAAACAAGTAATTAAACACCATAAAGCATTAAAATCACACATGGCCATGGTCATAAAAAAGCCACAGTGCATTAACTGAATACTTGCAGACGCCATTTAGAACCATTTGCTTTAAGAATCAGTAGCAGAGTCAAATTCAAATCTGTGCAAAAGATACGAAAGCAAGTTATCTTTATTTATCCAGCACATTTCACAGACCAAGGTCACTTTCTCAAAACATGCAGACCCATTGTACATGTTTTTATAGCGATAGGGGAAATCTGTGTGTGTGTGTGTGTGCGTAGTACTACACCATCATATATTGTTTTATTGTATTGTGCTGAATAATGTAGAAACGATTTAGCTTCATCCAGCTCCATTTAAAAGCGTGTCTCTGTTATGTGTGTGTACAACATGTCGCTAGAGCAAAGCAGCAGCAGCGATAACAATTGGGGATAACCAGAAAAAAATAGATACCCGTACATTCCCGCATTCCCACACGCATACAAGATACTGCAACAACTACAAAATATGCGATTGTACAAGAATATTGGGGTTATGGCGAGGGTAGCTATCCCCAGGGCCCATAATTTATCCTCTGACAGCAGCGAACTTTCACCCCCGCACAAGCATGTAATTAATTAAATTGTTAGCAAATTGTTTATTAAACGATATATTACTTCACAGTTGGGTTATAACGCAGGCTAGTTAGTTGGATTGAGGTTTCTTGTTTTGGTTCGTGAATGCACACACCCTTGGCAGAATTGCGTGCGGGGAAAAAAATGACAATAAGAATAATAGCAGAAGGAGACACGTAGCATTCCTAGCATCCCGACGCCGCGTCCCACGATCCTTTATGCAACACTTTGATTTATTAATTTGCACTCATAACTACGAATTTATCTTATCAGCGAGCCTGCTTGTACGCACACACACACACAAATCGATTCACTTAAATCCCTGGGGGCATTGTGAAACTCAAAAGCTTGTTGTGTTGACATGCCTGCGCCGCTAGCTAACCTATCCCTGCTCCAGAGCGAACAAGCTAGCTGCTGTTAGCATGAGTGGAACATGCCAGAACACCGCCTCATTATTTGCACATTTCTCACATCGGCGCAAATAAATTGACGTAATAAACTTGACGGATGATGTTAGGGGCTGATTATGCGTTCACCTTGTCTGCTCTCGGGCTCGTCTTCGTGTTGTGTGTCCATTGGCGTCTGACGCGAATGTTCGTCCCGGCTGGGCTCTCCTGATGCAGGGCGAATCCTCTCCAGCGTAACGCAAGGTTGTAGGTTGAATTCCGCGCACAAGCTACAGCCATCAGACACGGGAGACGCAGAGATGATCCCTGGCCCCTAGATCGGGATTTAGCTGCAGATTGACGGGGGCAGAACAAAGGTCCCAGGGCAGAGGCGACAGAACATAGAAGACCCGTTTCCTGGTTGGCTGAGTGGGGCTGCCAGGTTGTGGGAGAGAGGAAAGCAGCTAAGCCTTAGAATGATAGGAATCTGAGGAGGGAAGACGTACCATTCATGGCCTCTAGCCACTATTACTGATAATGAGAGACCAGAGAAGGAGATCCATCAGATAGGGAGACCAATCAGATAGGGAGACCAATAATAATGATGATGATGATAATAATAATAATAATAATAACAAAGATATTAATAAGTATGTATTAATACACTAATAACGCTACATATTATGATTACATTAATAATATATTTATACATTTTTTTCTTATTATTATAACAACCATTTAGACTGATTGATAATGATTAACCAACCAGTACCATAGTCATGAATACATTATTGTTTGTTTTAGAATGTTTTAATGTTTTAAGGTTTTTAATTACTTGTGACTTTATTCTGTTTTTAATATATATTTTTTATTTTTTTGTGTATATGTAGATTTTAATGTTTCTGATTTGTCTGATATTATGTGGGTTGTGAGGCGCTTTGAGTTGCCATGTGTTGGAAAGGCGCCATACAAATAAAAGTTGATTGATTGATTGATAAATTATCAAGTAGAAAGTATATAGTGAAATGTATGAAAGATAAAAACCCAAATCTGCCAATTGCACTGTTTTTTAATTGGGATGAAATATATGTAAAATGTCTTCAATATGCCATAGTTCATAGTTTAAATTGTATTATATTGTCACTGCAATGAAGGATTGTCACCCATCCTTCAATGCCACCTGTGCTAGAGAGACCAGAGAGACCAGAGAGAGACCAGAGAGAGACCAGGGAGAGACCAGAGAGAGACCAGGGAGAGACCAGGGAGAGACAAGAGAGAGACCAGAGAGAGACCAGGGAGAGACCAGAGAGAGGCAAGAGAGAGACCAGAGAGAGACCAGAGAGAGACCAGGGAGAGACAAGAGAGAGACCAGAGAGAGACCAGGGAGAGACCAGAGAGAGACCAGAGAGAGACCAGGGAGAGACCAGAGAGAGACCAGAGAGAGACCAGGGAGAGACCAGGGAGAGACCAGAGAGAGGCAAGAGAGAGACCAAAGAGAGACCAGGGAGAGACCAGGGAGAGACCAGAGAGAGACCAGGGAGAGACCAGGGAGAGACCAGGGAGAGACCAGAGAGAGACCAGAGAGAGACCAGGGAGAGACCAGAGAGAGACCAGAGAGAGACCAGGGAGAGACCAGGGAGAGACCAGAGAGAGACCAAAGAGACACTAGAGAGAGACCAGAGAGATAATAATATGTGTACACCCAAAGCACATCCTTCCCTTGTTATGTGAAGGAGAGGATCCACAGGACCTTCCCACAGCTGTCAGACTGTACAAAGAGAACTGCTGAGCCTGTACATATCAGATAGATAGATAGATACTTTATTGATCCCCCGTAGGAGAAATTCAGGTGTCCAGTAGTAGCAAAAATACAAAATAAAATTGATAATTCTAAAAAGTAAAAAATACATAATAATCAGCAAGAGCCCCTCAGGTCACAGCAGCAGAGGTGGAGTAGCCTCTGGTGGAGCAGGACGGGTCACAAGGTGGAGTAGCCGCTTGGTTCTGACTATTTTCTCTGCTCTAGTCCAAAGTGAAATGCTAAATGCTTCATTAGCATTTTTCAAAAAGTTTGCATTCCTCCAGTGGATTTTCACCTGATCCACTTGGTTCAGACCACGAATCCTCTCTGCTCTGGTCCGGACCAGTGTAAAACCATGAACACTGTACTGCACCAACATCTCAGGCAGAAAAAAGCAATACAAATAAAAATTCAAAAGCACAAAACAACAACTGTTTCAGAGCTACTTAGGACCTTGGATCTATTATAATAAGCTTGGGACTTGCAGCCGTTTTCCAGCGCATTCAAAAGATCATTCATCTGTTAATAGTAAATACTGTAATTTCAGACTGTCCACTCAATGCCACTTTATCTATTTATCTGTATCTTCTGCCCATATCCCGCAAAGTTACATTTAATAGACTTTTATCGTTCCAAGAGTCGCCAGCCTAAACTTCGGTCCCAGATGTAAAAATATAACTATATATTACTTTCAGTTACTATACACAGTACTTGCTTCTTATTATGCCAAAGGTATTTTATACTCCTTTACTATGCTCCAGGTTTTTTGTACTCATTAGGCTAAAGACAAATTTTACACTTGTTTCTTCTTCATGCTAAAGTTAGATATTTGTATTTTATTTTATGTAGTATAGTAATAATGTTCATTTATCTTGTGCTGTGTGCTCCTCATTCCTACTGTTATGTAACTGCTGATGCAACACTGACATTTCCCCATGTGGAACGAATAAGGGATCTCTTCATCTTAATCTTAAAACAACATTTTAGAAGCATTCACAGTTACTTATCTATGTGTGTTACTATCGTCCTGTTTTTTCCCCCCCGCTGTGGAACAAAAACATTGCTCTTATCTTATCTTAAAACATTGGATTGTGTTATAAAATCCTTGTCTGTAGTTTCTTCTCTCTCAAAGCAGTTCTGTCTCTAGAGTTTCCACATTCATGTATTTTTGGCCTCTGTCACATCTTTAGAATCAGCTTTTTCAGGTCCACCCCCTCTTAGCCAATCAGCTCTCGGTTTTGTGCAGCGATAATGGTGCAATATCCTGGGTTTTCATGTAGACAGTAATTGTACAGTATGTGTTTAAGATACTACACAAGAACACCCCCCCCTCCCTCATGTCTCTTTTAAAATAGTCCAGTTCAACATTTTGTCAAGTTAAATTTAACACACGGTTGATTTTAATGCCTTCTTTTTAATGTTTCGTATATCAAATTTTCCTCAAGATGGAGGTATGTATGGGAGAATATAAAGTCAAGTCCATGTATCTACTTGTGGCTATTGCATTAACACACTGTGGACACTAGAGAGCGCCATTGGACCTAAAAGTCTGGAGCAAGTCTCAGCTATTCACGTACCTGCCATAAAACTTTGACTTTTATGCCAATTTAGAAGCTTCCTTTCCATGTTCTACTCTCAGGCTGACGTTTCATTGATGTTAGTAGTGCCGTTAGTCCAAATGCCCCACCTAGTGATCAGTTAACAGTCAATTTGCTCAGCTTATGTACATCTTCATAACGCTGTGAATCTTTCTTTTTCTATCTGTAGTCAATGTCTATATCTTTATTTTGAATTCAATTCAATCATATTTTAATTTCTGTTTCTGACAATTTTAGGAACCTGATAAAAAGGTAAAAATTATGGCCTGAATAAAGAAACAGGCAGAAGTTAAAGATACATTCCTTTAATAAATCTAGTGGAAAACTGAAAAGAACTCTCTCTTGTCTCAGTATACATTACATACAGACCTCTCTTTTGTCTCAGTATACATACAGACCTTTCTTGTCTCAGTATACATTACATACATACCTCTCTTGTCTCAGTATACATGCAGACCTCTCTTGTCTCAGTATACATTACATACATACCTCTCTTGTCTCAGTATACATGCAGACCTCTCTTGTCTCAGTATACATTACATACAGACCTCCCTTTTGTCTCAGTATACATTACATACAGACCTCCCTTTTGTCTCAGTATACATTACATACAGACCTCTCTTTTGTCTCAGTATACATGCAGAACACCACCCAAGAAATTAACTCGGGATAAACGTGCATTTCCCCTGCACTAACAGTCTGTGACCAGCAGGGAGCAGCGTTCACCCAACTACTGCGAGACTGCTCACCACCACAGCAATTATGTGAAATCCCAACCTCAAATTCCCCCCTAGACTCCCCCCAAAGGCCTCCCCCCCCGCAGCGCCAACACACTCCCTAATTATTCATTCCAGCCAATTAAAAAATACAATGAGCATCTAATTATGAATGATTTCTCCGGCAGAAATATTGGCAAAGCGATGATCACACAGACAGAAGAGGATCAAATGTCAAGAGGGAAAGTTTTACCAGCTCAAACTTCTCAGACATCTCTCTTGTCTCAGTATACATACAGACCTCTCTCCTGTCTCAGTATACATACAGACCTCTCCTGTGTCAGTATACATACAGACCTCTCCTGTCTCAGTATACATACAGACCTCTCCTGTCTCAGTATACATACAGACCTCTCTCCTGTCTCAGTATACATACAGACCTCTCCTGTATCAGTATACATATCTCTCCTGTCTCAGTATGCATACAGACCTCTGTCTCAGTATACAGTCCTCTATTGTCTCAGCATACATACATACAGACTTCTCCTGTCTCAGTATACATACAGACCTCTGTCTCAGCTTACATACAGACCTCTCCTGTCTCAGTATACATGCAGACCTCTGTCTCAGTATACATACAGACCTCTGTCTCAGCTTACATACAGACCTCTGTCTCAGCTTACATACAGACCTCTCCTGTCTCAGTATACATACAAACCTCCCTTGTCTCAGTATACATACAGACCTCTCTCTTGTCTCAGTATACATACAGACCTCTCTTATGTCAGTATACATACAGACCTCTCCTGTCTCAGTATGCATACAGACCTCTCCTGTCTCAGTATACATACAGACCTCTCTTATGTCAGTATACATACAGACCTCTCCTGTCTCAGTATACATACAGACCTGTCTTGTCTCAGTATACATACAGACCAGGGACGTGCGGTGAGGTTTGTGATTGGGGAGGCACTGACTTTAAAAGTCAGATTTACAATCATTATTCAAATAAAATAGCATTTAATCACCAATGCAATGACATCCACAAACTTTATATACTGTAAAGATAAGAGAA